AATATCCATGCCCGAAGCGGAACTCGAGCCCACCACCCTTCGAGCCGAGGCAGCTATCGCTCTTCAACCTTAGCGACCTCGTCTACCCAGGCCGGCGTTTATCTGGTTTGGCATAATCTTTTTATCTTCTATCTTAAAGTTACGCGCCACTCGAGGTAGGCGCACATACAAACTCGCAACACACTTAGCGCGTGTTTTGAGCAAAACTCGAAAAGTGTGCGTTCCAGGGCATTAAAGCATCAGATTGGGGGACTCGAAGAGTTTATTAGGACATTATGTGACTTTCTTATTAATCTTCAAAATGAGGCATTTTGGGCTGTCAATTGCAATTTTTGGGGGTTTAACAATTCAGGGCAATCTGCTCTCAGCAGGTTTCTAGCTTTGTGCAGAATCTTGGAATCCAGTATAATATTTGATACCGATAATCGATATGGTTTTCAGTTTTTTATAAAGTATTTATTATGTTGGAATATCTACCCATAGAACGGAGTGCATATGACGTAATACTCAATTTAGTTATGGCCTGGTCGTGCGAAGTTTCGTTTCCGTATGGAGCTATTTTGACTTTTAAAACCATGATTTACACAGGGCGGAAGCTATCACTGGTCCAGATGTTTTTGTTTACATATAAAAAGTTTGTATTAAATTAACGACTTTTCAGATTATAGAAAAGTATGATTCATAATAGGGAAAATGAAAATGCCCTAATATTGACACTACTGAGGCGATGGAATGGTAATAACACGCAAGTTAACTGAAGTTCATGAACCCTCTGTAATGCTGTATTAGTTCGATATTGTAAAATACGTTGTCCTTACATCCTCTAAAAACTCTTCAGAGAAGTAGTACATTATCCTAGTCCTTTGTGTCAATACCATGACCTAAATATTTTAATAGTTAAAGTATGTCTGCGTCCAGGGAATCGATTACAGGCAGTTTGGACGTTACATTTATGTGTAAAATACCGATGCAGCTACAGTAAGGAAACGCAACTTCTCTTATATTTATTAACAGCGCTCAATACTTTGACGAGTTAATTGCTGTTACCCAGCAGTTCGTTAATATCATAAAAAATACATAGATCATAGTACATTGCAGCATCTGCTACGTAGTATTTCTTCTTCTATGTCGCATTTATTTGCTCCACAGATGGATCCACAATTTCTTTTGATAACTTGATTGGACAGTAATTTTGCTGTAATGGAATGATGATGTTGTTCGCTGCGTTAATGGCCTTCGTTTTTTATGGCTCGTTACGTCCAATCGTCTCCCGCATAGACGTGAGAGGAATGAAACTAAACATATGTATAAAAATCATATATTTTTATATTGACAAAATATTTTATTTTGATACTTTTTTATTTTTATATTATTAAAATTAATAGTTATTTTATTATCAAAATAAGTTAACAGAAACAAATTGCTTCGCAAATAGTTTCGAGGTTCGCCTAAGTTTTAGACTGATTTCCACATAAGAAATTTTCTTCAACAACGCCAAGTACCTGGAGCTAAAGATCAAAATGCATTAACAGTTAGTATTGTAACGTATTAGCCAGCGTGCCTCATGGCATCTATTTGGGGACGCTTGGGAGGGATTAGCCTAGCCACAGGAAGAAGGGTTTTTCCGTAAAGGGAAGAACGCGGAAACGGGAGACACGAGGCTTTGGGAGTTTCCGGCTTATAGAAGCTTTTCACTGTTATAACAAGCGAGGGGGTGGCGTGACGTAGTAGGTCACGTGGGCCTCGCCTATATAACAGAGTGTACGGAGCCAGTGGGTGGGTTCTGGAGACAGCGGGAGAACCTCGTGCGTGTGCACAAAACTTGGCGCCACGACGGTGCATATGCGAGCCAGGCTCGCGAGGCTGGAGTCACTAGTTGACGAAGCCTGCGGACTTTATGTCCTTGGGTGACTGCGGTCACGGGGGAGCGATGCTGTGTGCGTGCTCCGAGGTGAAGAGTGGTTGAGTGCCACGATTCACGCCGATTCTCAATCGGATAAGATCGCTCCTGCGATCGAGGCTAACCAGCCGTTGGTGCGCCAGAACGGACTTTGTGTCCCAGCGTGACATCCGGTCACGGAAGCTAGGCTTTGTGCGCGCTTCAAAAGTAGGAGTGGCGAATGCCACAATCAAAACCATCTTCAATCGGGTTTGGATCGTTCCCGCGATCAGGGGATAGTAGGTTTATCAGAGCTAGGGTGTAAGTAAGATATTAAGTGTATATATTTGTTTTGTTTTCTTTGTTAATAAATATATTGTTATACGAAAGCTCTGTGTCTGTGGTCGCTGTGAGTATCCATGACGTCACAGTATTTCTAAAAGTTATGTATTAGAAATAACGTGAATTGTTTTATTCTTCAAATTGTTTTCCACACGTGTCGGGAATCAGTTTTGCATCTGAAAGCGTTTCGTTCCTGCGTTTTACATTAATCTTGGGAATTCGTTGTGTTAGTTAAATACTATTTTTCGTCTCTTTTCTAAATATAGGTAATATAGGTTATGCTAAATGCAACAGTTTATAAATTATTTTAAACTAATTGCAAAAGCATCAGAGAGCTTTGATATGACTTAGCATATGACATGTGCATAGTTTTTACCAGGTATATAATTTGTAACATGATTTTCATTATATTATTGTGACCATGCTTGGAGTAATGAAAGATTATAGCAAAATAAAGAATTATAGTACCCAACCACAATTACCGCTTCCTTTTCTCCATTTTATAGTAAAATAATACTGGTGTTTTGCGCCCTGGTACGCAGAATCAAAAGTGTAAAAGCTGGATCATCGCTAAGAATAGGGATAGGGAAGGTAAACCGTCTATTCCGAAGTGTAGTTTGTAATAAGCTTTACCCTTTAAATGTTGATGTTTTAGATGCTTGAACTTCTTTACTGCTACATCTGTTATTGTAAATTACTAGCTACTACTCGAATGTGGCGTTGCCGACTGCTGTAAACTGTTTTAAAAGTATTTCCATAAGTTGAAAATTTATGTCATCCATAGTTTTGTTCAAATAAGTTCTTTCACTCTCGAGCATTGGGCATACCAATAAATCGTATTAGTTAATAATGTTTTACTCCTGTTCAAAACTTTCCAACCCCCAATTGCCTTGTATGATACCTCTATAGAGTATATGAATTGTAATATTAAAATTTCAAAATTATAAACGCTTAAATTAAAAATTCTTGCAAGAACGAATGATGCTGAATGTCTATAATTTAGTACATCTACATTTTTTACATTACTTGCTAATGTAAAAATTCATCAATAAGCTGCATCTTAAAAAACTGCTTAAAAAGTCATCGGTAAGTTGCTCTTAAGCGTTATTCTATTATACGATCATTCTCAATTCGTTCCGAAAATTATGTCGCAAAATCTACAACTACATATTTTCTTCTTCGGGTTTGCTTAACACTTCGATTTTTGTCCCCTAAGTTTTGAAGAAATTAAAACTCCACAAAGGCAGTCTAATTGTGTTTACTTCTACTTTTATAATTGCTCTATTTATCATTTTGTGGGCGAATGTTTTCTATGTTTATGTAAACATTAAAAGGCGACTGTTTTTTTATATTTATATGAATAAGGTGTTGGTTACGTTTTAATGAAAATAAATTACTACACATGTATATAAAAATCGGTATTTGCGCGCTCAAGAATGTAAATGTGAGAAGTCGAACATAACGTAAATGTGCTTCTGTAGCATTACTCCACTTTGGTGTTCTCCATTTTTACCTGAAGTTCAAGTTCAATAATTTCCAAGGCAATAGTGTTCGTTGGGTTTTGCACATGTATTTTTAAAATAAATTAATACGGATGCAAATTAACTGAAATCTGCCGCGCGGCTATTCACTTGTCGAATCCAACCTAACCTGCATAGATCTATTTGGGTGGCGTTGGTTTAATTCCCGGCATACTCACTAAGATGGATACTCACTCAAGCGCCAAAAACGCAAAAACACGATTTTGTATTTTTTTTAGAATTTTCTTGTCGGAACTGAAAACAAATTATCACTTCCTCACTGGGAGGCCGATATGCATCGAGTGATACCTCATTCGTTTCGATTGGTGCTCAGGTAGTGGTCTGACCGTGAATGAGGGATCCGCACACTCGCACTCACGCACACTCATAGTTACTCAAATACTGTTTAGGGATCACGTGGAGTTGCCCCGGAATTAAATTATTTTTCACAAATGACTATTACACAGCTCTGCCCGTCTTGCCTCTCCACCGCCCCGCCCCCCCCCCAATCATCCAGCCCGCCTCTTCCTGCTCTGTCTACCCCTGTCCCTCCTCTTACTCGTCAACGCCTAGAAACGTGGCTCGCCATTGGGAGTTTCACTAACACAAATTTCGGGGTGTAACCAAATTGACGGCACCTTTTTGAGTCATGGATACCTTGCATTTGAGAGATGGGGGGGGGGGTCCCAAAGTGCTGCTCCAAAATTTGGGGGTAATCACTACAGTAGTGCTTCAAACGGCATACTGTAACAAAATCACGTGCATACCTACTTGTCTCTGATATTATATAAAGTGGAAGATTTAAAGGGTAATTTGAAGTTGCACAGTTGTAACCTAGTGAGGATTTCAACTAAGTTTCATTACAGTGAAATATTTATCTCTTTTACCCTACAACATGAGTATTATTTTCTTACTCAGAGATGGATGATCCAACCGTCGTTTAAACTCAGGCACTTAATACCCTTTCTAAAGAGCGTATCAACTTTTGTGAAAATCTTCCTCTCTGTGTCCTTCACTTAATACCCGTTTCTCTTGGCTGCGTTTTCCGACTGTGTCTCGAATTCAGTGCTCCATCCCAAGAGCAATTTTCTACCCCTGCAGTGGCGTGATAATTCCATACATCCCCGACATTCGGCGGCTGACAAAGAGCCACCGCGATGAGACACCGAAAGTTGCAGGCTTTCATCTGAAGGAGTGCCACCTTGCTTACATTACCCTCGAAAGAAACTCATTTTTTATTCATGTGCGTTTTCTCACAGCCATCGTCGCAGCAGAAGGCGGCGTTGAAACGGAGCTGACACACTTTCGCCCTAAGGACGCAGCAAGGGATTTTGGTAAGCGCGATTATCAGGACGCCCGCGCGGCATTCAATGCAAATGTATGGAAATTTCTAGGAAAGTAAAAACTAATAAAGTAATAAGAAAGAAACAAGTAATATATTACCTCTGGAGTTTTATACCGTGAAGCTACATGATAACAGCAATATCAGTTTACTGGAACTTCAACGCAGTAAACATATGTTTCATTTGCTGGCTTCTGTTTCTTTCTTTTGGTTACTTTTCTTTCTTTCCTTCTTCCTTCATACTATTATTTCGTATTCGTGTATTTTTTTAAACTTTTTTATGTTCTTTAACATCAGATGCAAGTTCACTGCGTATCATCTAGGTTGTCTCTTGAGACCGCATTTTGACACTGGACTCGTGCCAAGGTTAGATACTTTATTATTACCTATATGTTACGATCCTGCTAATGATCTTTTTGTGGTTTCGTGTAATAAAAAGTAGGAAACTCATTAATGAATTAGTTCAATGTCATTATAACATCGTGTCTCGGTTTCTAAAACATATGTTTGCGGTACAGAGCAAATCTCTTAATGCAGCAACGGCGCAGAAAAGCGAAATAACAAACAGAAATAAACACGAAGATGACGTAATTTAAAGCATTTTGCATACGGAATGTGTTTGTGTCTATATGAGCTGGACTGTGTTCTCGTTATCATTGAATATTCTTGTGATATTTCGGAAGATTCTGAAAAATCTTTTTTTTTTTAAAGTATTTCTTTGAAGTATAATTTCCTCATATGAAGAGCTTCCAATCGTATTGATGCAGTTTGTCGTTTGCATGTGCTTTGATTACCAGTCGTATTTACTTTACCTTCATGTGCAAAACTGTCTTTCCATATCCGGAAATAACCGTTCAAAAAAGGATTGTATTGTTTAAAATTAAATTGTAAAAAAATACATCACAAAAAACAAAAAAAAAGTTTTATATTCAAAATTATAGATATCAGATTTTGAGAACTTTCGCTGGTTTAAAGACGAAGTAGTTACATGACTACATTTTTGCTTCGGATCTAAATAATAAATGTGAGGATTTTAATTCATGAAGTTAGGCCGTAGAGAAAGTCTTACGAACTGTGAATTCGGTCAGTTGATTTTCTTTACATTACTTTCGGAGAAATACATTTTTTATTCATGCCATTTTCCAAGCCGAAGAAAGTAGTCAAATCTTTTATGCTATCGTATCATGATATTCAATTTTTAAAAAGGGCAGTGAAATGTATTCATAAATGAAGACGAATGCGACATGGTAAAAGTTCACAAATGAGTAAAATTTAAATTGAAAAGAAAAACGAAAATATAATATTAAATACAACAAATTTGTTTTAAATGTAGTTTATCCACTTTTGATACCGAAAGTCGAATTTAAGTACTAGAATTACTAGAAGTACTAGAATACACCTTGAACGACTACTATTAACAACTATAATAAATCGTATTATTAGTTTCGTAATAAGTGTTCATAGAAAACTGGTGTCCTGTTAATAAATCCCAGTCTTCCCGTTAACTACTATCGATATATCTTTCACCTTGGGGTGGGCGAAGAGTGAAATTTAAACGAAAATTCCAGTACTTTGGATTGTTTACAAAGGGGTTCGTAAGTTCTATATTCGTCTCGTGAAATCTTACAATACTTCTTCATAAATACCTAATCTCAAATTGTTTAAAAATACATAAAGTTAAAGTTTAATGTGTTATGGGTATTCTTAAATTTTTATGATCACTTTATAGTCTGCCTTGGAGTAGGTAATTTACTCACCAATTAAACAGAGGATACTCAGGGGAAATGTGATTTGTTGAAACGTCCACTCATTAGAGGCGGCCGGGTGGAATTTGCCCGTGGGTATCCCGACGCGTTGCTGTAATTGATTTTCCTGGAATTACCTGTATCTGGCAAATTAACACAGAACAATTCCAAAATGTTGAAACGCTGGGAAAATTTGCACCCGGTTCCATTTCGAGTAGCTACCAAAAATTGCTACCACACACTTAGTGCTGCATCGCAATATATTCTCCTCGTGTTTTAATTATTTTTCAGGAAATATTTATTAACTGCATGTATATCTAAGGAGAAATCTTCGTGGTTTTCGACATTGAAATACTGGAAGCTACCAGCAAACAGTGGTGCCAGGGTTTATTCGTAATTCTGATGTCCAATTCTTTTTCCGCCGAATGAACTTCATATGAAATAGACGAAACGAATTATTATGACGGTGAGAAGTGACTTGGGAGAGAACTTGGTGGATTGCTTTCAGTTATGAGTTTTACATAAATAAATCATATCCAGAATTTCCAACAATGATACCGTGGTCGATGCCAAATGTTGGAGATTTTGTGGAAAAGCCCAATGGTTCCATTCCGAGATGCAGCAGGTAAGAGCGAGGCAGTGGGGTATTCATGGTGAGAGACATGTCCATGGAATGGGAAGCACCTGAGCACACTTTATGTATGCTGATTCCATTGCCTAAAACGTATGTCTGCGTGTACCTCAAAATGTGGAAATTTTAAGAATGAATTCAAGTGAACTCTACGCATTTGACATTTGAATTCACGGAGCACAAACGTTTCTCAGCACATGTGGGTTCATGAAAGCACAATCTCATATTTTGTAAAATAAGTAAAAGAATCAATATGTATAAGAAGTTTTTATTATTTTAAAAATACTTTAATCGTTCAGGGAATATAACTCATCCAAAATTCTTCCACAATTATAGGAACATCTATTCAATAATTCCTTGCAGAATTTTAAAACACGTAACAACTTATCAACAAATCGCGAGAACGCTTTTTCGCGGCATATGCACGTTCTTCGACGGAAGCAAACGTTCATTAATTTTCCAATTTAATTCTGACGTAGCAGAATATTGAAAATAGATTAAGAGAAGAAAATGGATTTTGATATACTTGAAAGTATTGAAATAATAATGCAAATTCAAATGCCAAAGGTTTCGGTTGATGAAACTTAGGACATGGGGCCTGAACCTAAATTACGTAAAGCATGAATTGATTGATTAATTATATTTTCGTGTTTCCAGGCAGCTCAATTGCTGTGGTTAGTAGTTCCGTAAATGTAGTGTGTGCGTTTATCACGGGAAGCGACGGTGTTCTTCACACCTTGGACATTTTGCGCCGGCGCCGACCTGCGCGATGTCTTGTGGAGAGTTTCCCCATCTCGGTTTCTCTCACCAATGGGGCATCCCCGTTGGGTGAAACTCTACGCTTTATCTCGCAACATGTATGGTAGCAGGTAAGTGTATGTGTAAGTAAGAAATGAGGATAGGACAAGGAAGAGGAAGAAAAGATCACGCGCGGTCCGTGGCCCATACGGTATGTAGTTACGGTACTGCTCCAGCGTACGCCTGTTAATCGCACAAACCATGGAAAACAACAGACCAGAACAGCCAGCCGGTAGAACTCCCCTTCAGCCAGTGTCTGAATTCGAAATGTCGAAACCGTCGGGACTCAATTCTTAGGAGGCAGTGATATCATTTGATGCCGTGAGCCATCTTAGCCGGTACATAAATTAGGGAAATTGTACACTACGTATAATAATAATAATAATAATAATAATAATAATAATAATAATAATAATGTCTTTATTAATGGCGAGGCTCAAGCCATAGGGCCTGCTCTTCCGCCTAACCACTGAATTTACATACATTTAGAGTAGCAACATTTTAAGAGGGGAGGACAAGCTGTACATTTACGTCTGGGAGAAAAAATCTAGGGACCACCCCGGCATACGCGTTAAGCGAGTGAGTAAATCCAGAAAAACCTCAATCAGGATGGCGGCTTAGTGCCGAACATTAATAGTACTGAGTAAGTTGTACATAGTAGTGAAAGGGAAGTTTCGTGAAAGAAAAAAGAAAAGACCTACAGGGGAAGGATGTACGTATGTCTATGCGCTTTGTAAAAATGTAGTTTGTGAAGGAATGTTTTTATTTTGCGGTGCCACTTCCAAACGTCCGCAGCGGTTGCTCCTTCCACCCACCCTCGACCCGAACTCCGCAACCGGACAGACGCGTCTCCCGAAAGGCTCTCCGCCGTCGGGGAAGCCCTGGGGCGGGTGGCGGAGGCAGAGGGGGGCCGCGGGGGCCGCGCAGCGCCGCGTCGCGGCGGCGGCGGCAACGCCTGCGACGGCGGCTGCGACGGCAGC